GTTCCTGTATATTTTCATTAATAAGTTAAAGCCTTTCTAAACTAGTTACTATGTGTTCCTCCTTACTATACTTTCTCTTACCTCTTTATTAATCCTTCTATACTTTTTAACAAGTTAAAGCCTTCTTAAACTTATAACTGTGTGTTCCTTATTGTCTGTCCTTACCCTTTTGTATTTTACCTTCCTCTCTTTACTATATTCTTTCCTTTATCTCTCTATTAATTACTTCCCTACCCTTCTCCCCCTTTTTATTTCTTTAGAGTAGGAAAGAGTATAACCTTTAAGGTTACACACATAACTTTAGTTAAGTATATAAAGGACTATTTGTAAACACTTAGAGATTATCTTTGTACTTACTCTTATACTTAGGTTAACCTCTCTAATTCTAGGTCTTTACCTGTTCTATGTTTTTAAGTAAGACTCTAGCCTTTATAGTTATCTGTAACAATAGTTAATTAATTATAACAGTTATAAAAGTAATATATTATACTTGTAAGTTAATTACAATACTTTTAGTAAGATAATATATAATTATATATATTAATAATGTTAATAATCACTTTGTCAGACTTATAATATAAATTGTTTTTACTTTTAAACAATATATTAAAGTGATTACATAATCAAGTACTAAAGATTAAGAGTATATAATAACACACTTACTCTTATTACTCTTTTTCCTCCTACCTCTATTATCTCTCTAACCCTCTTCCTCTAACACTATATTGTCTCTTTTGTTCTCTCTAAACTAGTCCTCTGTCTATAAGTATCCTCTAGTAAGCACACTACTTACAACTGTCTAAGTAATAAAGGTTACTAGATTTGTCTCTCTAATCTACTACTATAATACTTATACTAAGTCTTAGATTTTGTAACAATACAGTTAAGCTAACTGTATAGTTCTTTAGTATAAAGTGTAAGTAGTTAGTCTACTTTATAATAACTTGTACAATAGTTACTCATCCCTCTCCTCCCAACTTCTTGTCTCCCTTTTATTCCTTCTACTCCTTACTCTGCCTCTTACATTGTCTCTCTTTTGTTGTCCTCCTTTTTATTATACTTGTCTTCTTTTTTACATTTGTATTTGTGTATCTATATTATTAACTAATGTTGAATAACTTTTTTAATAATTCTATACATTTGTATACTTCTTTCTACTCAGTAATGTAAGTAACAATTAGTAAGTATATACTTATAACAATGTTTATGTATTACTACTCCTTAAGTGTAATCCTCTCTCTAACCCTCTATACACTCTCCTTCCCTACCTACTATTTTATACTTAACATTACTCTTAATAGGCCTACACTGTGTACATTTATATACTCTAGTACTGTTTATAATACTATTTTGAATAACAGAAACAGTAACTACTACTTACCTCTCCTAAACTAAGTCTGTCTACACTACCTACTTTATTCTCTCTCTTTAAGTCAGAATGTTCTAGAGATACATTTTTAAAGTTATTCACAACTATTACTAAGTTTACTATACTTCTGATTGTATATTATATTATAGTTAGAGTATATAATGTATTTGTACAAACACATTTCCTTTACAGCCCAAATTAACTTACTTAATACTCTGGATTTCTAATCTAGGTAATCTACCTATACTTATTACACACTATTATAGTGTGTTTATCTTTTTGCTCTTATTGTTACTTACTAATTACTCTAAGCTTGTCTTACAGGTGTAACCTTAATCTCTACAACCTACTTAACCTTATTCTACACACACTTATAATTCAACTTGTAGAGACTGAGTAACAACCAAAACATAGTAACAAAGATTATGTTAAACAGTCTAAGAATGTATTCATTCTTGTTCAACACAAATCCTACTTATAGAAGAATAAGGTAGAGGCAGCTAGTAGTGTAAGGGTTAGAACTGTAGAAATAGTGTATTATTTACTATTTTTGTATTCTATAATTTAAATATAATTATATTTGATTAATTATTTAATATAAAATTGTATAGTAAGTAAAAGTAAGCTATTTAAACACTTGTAATAACTTGTAAGTATTATAAGCAGATATTATACTGTTACAAATTAATAAGTATGTCTTAATCTTATAATTTAGAAAGTATATTATAATCACTTGTATAACTTGACAATTTATAAAATTATATTAGAAATTGCTAAGTTTTAAAAGTATTTTTTCTTGTGTATTTAACATTGTACTTTCCTTACTTAACCCTCTAGAAAGATTATAAGTAATTAGACAAATTTTATAAAATATAAAAAATATACAAGATTACAAGCAAGTATAATACTTAAGACTTTTTCATAATGTTGTAGAGAAAGAAATGTTAAAGGGGGTGCATTTAGATTATAAAAGATAAAGAAAATGCTAAAGTAGAAGTCACAACAAAATAACTAACAGGTAGTAGTTTAGGACCACAATCCAGATTTGAAGCTATACACATTACTTATTAGTGATCAAGACTGTCTAGTAAATATAGTAGAGGGCAATCACTCTACTTGTCCTAGAGAGGAGTTCTATAAAGTTAAGTATATTACTGTCTAACATAATAACATTAAGATACACAAGGAGGATACAATGTTTGTCCTACACAACTGTCATCCTGATTTTGTTCTTGAGTTTTACTACTCTAAACACAACCATATAGTTCCTATCCAGGTTACTTACAAGATCAAGTTATACAAGCTCCTCTCTAAAGGGTTTAAGTAGTATGACAATAAAGTTAAGTAGGTTAATGTTGTTATTGTGTTAGATGAAAAGGGTGGAAAGAGGGTAGAAATAGTAGCTGAGAATGCAGGAAAAAAATTGAGTGTTTTGTTTAGTAATAGTATTGTAGGTCAATTTTTTCTTTTTATTTCTTTCTGTATTTTCTTTGTTTTTTGTACTATAAAGTGTATTCTGACTAGTTTTTTATTCTAAAAACTAAATTAAAGTGTACAATAAGTTAATTAATGTATATTAATTTTACTGCCTTTTTCATAAGTATTGTCACACTTGATGATTCATCATTTT